GGGCCGGAGCTGCCACAGAGAAGGCCCTCCCCCGGGTAATAGCCAGGTGGCATTGGCTGGTAGATGGCACCCGGAGGAGGCCAACCCTGTGAGAGATAATGTGACCTATCATTATCTTCCAAAAGTTCAAGCCATATTGACTTCCAAGAAAAGGTGCTGGCTAAAATACACATCAAGTTTAAGTATCCTCAAGTTGTAAATGGAAAGTTGATATAAAAGCATATTGACTTGCAGAAGATAATTTACAGAGTTCTTGTATCCATGTGTGGGTCACTAAGCAGACTAGTGACTTGATAAAATGTCCCCTTGCATCGGCTGGCATAATAAAACTGTGCAATCATAGTTAAATTACTATGTTGTTATCAAGCAACTACATAAGAGGCTGCATTGCACTTAGGGAAGCCACACTCACTTCCATCTTCCAGCAGTCATTCAAATCCACAGACTTAAATAGTGAGTTTCCTTAAAAGAAACTACCATATGATGCTTTCCGTAGCTTTCTTTTTCCACTTTTATTATAAAATGCTGGGTTTGCTGTGCTGACACATGTATACACATCATCTGCATACATATGAACACTATTATGTAGAATTATTGTGTCTGTGTCAATTTTAATTTTTCTTCTGAGAAACCAATTCATAATCTACATGAATATCACGGATTTGATAGCAAAGCACTGTATGGTTTGTGAATTCCATATACCCCTTTTCTTGTTTCCTATACAAATCTACCCACACACACCCTGAAAGCTGACTGTATTCTCTAGTTGTTGTTGGTTTTTTCCCAGGACTAGCAAAGGTCCCCAAAGAAACACAGGTATCTATTTGAGAAAACATCACCTTTTTCTCTTCCAATGAACTGGCTAGGTCTACTTGATTTTAAATGATGGGGAACACATGCCTACTTTTTATATTATGTGTTCTCTGTTTCCACACAACCTGGTTAATGAATAAGCCCATCTTCTGGGTTTGGACAACCCATTCAACTTTAAAATGATCAAATGGGTTGGGTTTGCACAATATGCTTAACCCACAAAGAACTGTATCATTATACTGCATCCTTTTATCTGCTAAATCTTTATTTGAATTGGTTAAGCATCTAGTGTGAACACAAACAACATATGCTATGCAAATTACAGGAATGAGCAAGGATAATGATGGGAAAAAATATCCGTGATTTAAATGGGATGGATAGTGCATAAGGAAAGCCAACTCAATGTGCTATTTCCTCCATTTAAACACTACTCCCACCT